AGTAGTAGTAGTAGTAGTAGTAGTAGTAGTAGTAGTAGTAGTAGTAGTAGGATTTGTATCTCCAGCAGTCCTTCTGATATACTAGGCCAACAGTTGTTGTAAATGTGACTACAAATAAGGTTGTTATTTTCTCTAGAGGAAGCTTTATTAGATGATGTCAAAAACAGATTTCTAATGATTTCACGACTTTGAACAATCAATGCTACTAGTAGTGCACAGCAATGAAATATTATGTGAATTGGGTTAGGAACACTTAGGAGGATGCAATTTATTTTGTGGTACCAAATGTAGGCATGACAAATTTCAAATGCAGTTTATGTGCTCTAGTAGTGAACTTACTCAGTATTAAGTTGAGTTCATCCATTGTTCTTGATTGCTGCAACATTCTCAGCTGTGCTGGGTGCTGCTGGGTTTGTTGGAGCTGTTGGTGCATCCGGGGCAGTTGAATCCTTGTGATCTTCGGAATCATAATACTCATTGGAACCAAAATATTCCTCAGAATCGGAATAATCTTCAGGTTCATAAAGGATTGCCTCCGAAGCAGATGCACCTCTCGGGGGGATGGGGTCGTCTTGAATGAGTGCAATGCCAACTGTGTTATTTTTGTTGTTTTTGTGTTTGTGTTTGTGTTTGTGTTTGTGTTTGTTGTTGTTGTTGTTGTTGTTGTTGTTGTTGTTGTTGTTGTTGTTGTTGTTGTTGTTGTTGTTGTTGTCGGTGTTGCCCTTGCCGAATGTCCTTCCCCGAGTGCATGTGGTCCCCTTCCCACAGACGGAATGCTGTGTGAGTAGGATTTACTTGTGGTACTTCCTTTTTTACAAAATCTACCACTGTCAATAACTGCTCTAACAATGATGCCAGTATCAGTATCACTGGCAGTATCACTAGCAGTATCAATACCCAAACCCCAACCCCTCCAGCTCCAGCTCCAGCTCCAGCTCCAGCTCCAGCTCCAGCTCCAGCTCCAGCTCCAGCTCCAGCTCCAGCTCCAGCACCAGCTCCAGCTCCAGCTCGAGCCCCAGCTCCAGCTCCAGCTCCAGCTCCAGCTCGAGCCCCAGCTCCAGCCCCAGCTCCAGC